AAGAGAAAGTAAAAAAAAAAAAAAAAAAAAAAAAGTTATTTTGTTAAAATTTCTTTTTTTTTTAATTTGGCATTTTGGGTAGGAATCAAATTGTGTGGTAAAACCAAGAAGCTGTTGGCTTCATGAGAACTTGAGTCTCCTGGGCCAATGATGTCTAAAGAGGAAGCATGTCCAGAAGGAGACCCTGGGGTGGGGAGAGGCAGAATTTTAATTTTTAGCTTGTTCTGTGCGGACAGCATGCTGCCCTTGTCAACACTGCAAGCATCTAGCCTTCCTCTCCAAGACCCCTTGCAAACTGTCCCCGTGCAGTAAACGTGGGACTTGGGCTTCTGCAGTGTGACAGCTGATCTGAAATACTGTACACAAAACCTTCTTCCTTCAAAGGCAGAAATACCCACGCACACCCATTTGTGTAATTCAGAGGCACTTGTCCCTGCTCTAACACACTGTTGTTCCTTTTTCTACAAAGCCACATAGATGATGATGGAAAAAAAGAATCTTTAGAATTTAGTTTTCTTTTTCAATGAATTCATTCATATATTTCTCTTATTAATTGAAATTTATAAAAGACTGAGCTTATATTTGACAAATGCAACATGCATGCATCCTGCGCATTTAGGAATATATGCATATATTTAGCGATATCTATATCTATATCTGTATATATATGGTATGGTGATACCTCAGTTGTCAAACACTGAGAAGTGTGAGAACTGAACATATTTTTCCCCTAAGAAGTAATGGAAAATCAAGTAATTGGTTCTGAGGCCCCAAAATTACACTTATAAATTCATTTTTTCAAGGACTTCAACAAATTTCACAACCAATTCTTAATTTTTTTGTTTTTATTTTGTGTTTGTTAAGATGACTTTTACTGGTACATTTTAGGTCTACGTAATGATAACACTCATGATAGGGAATCTGCACCTGTCCATGATGTATCTTTTTCCTCCCATCCCTGCCCCCTTCTATCCCTCTTCCTCTCCTTGTTTGCAAAAGCTTTGTTTCCATTTTCCCTTCGATTGTCTTCTTTCCCTTCCTTTCTTCCCCTCCCCTCCCTCCCTAGTTTCCCTTCCCTTTGGAACGTGTTCTCCGCATTTCACAGTATGTTGCATATTTTGGCCCTCATGTGATTCCTTCCTTTCACTGTGCTGTGGGTTCTCACAGTTCTTCTCTCAGCTTTCCCGCTGCTATCACTAACTTTCCTATGGTATTTTACACAAAATGCTCAAGAGAGCACCGTGACGAACGTTGTTGTAATGCACTCACACTCACTGGCTGTGTGTAGTCTGGGTGAGAGCAACAGTCACCCCTTCGTGTCCACAGAGAGAGGAGACACGTGACTCACTCTCAGCCAGGACAGGTTTCTTCAGGTGAGAGTTTTGGTTTGACAATTGAGCCAAAGTATGAACACCAAGCAGATTTTTCTCTAACTTCGCTGTTTGAATAGTGGAGAGTTCGAGCTTGGAACTGTTCCACAACTGAGGTGTCACTGTATATACTAGTGTTTAATAAGTTGCTGAATATTTTGTACGGACTGTTTACTCAGGTTCTTTGAAGGATGCGATAATGCTCTTGAAAAATATCATAAAAGTAAGCCAGATGTTGTGGTGCACACTGTACTCTGAGCATACTGGTGAGGCTGAGGCAGGAGGATCACATGTTCAAGCCCAGCCTGGGCAACTTAGTGACTCAGTGAGACTTTTCCTAAAATAAAAATTAAAAAAACAAAAGAAGGACTGGGGATGTAGCTCAGTGCAAAGGCCTGAATTCAGTCTCCAGTATTCCAGTAACACACACACAGACACAGAAAGAAAAATGCAATAAATGAAACATCTTAATCACAGATGAATGCTGTTCACAATGTAAACTATTTGCATAAAATATTTAGTCATAATTTATACATTTTGATTAAATGAGAGAACTGTAAGAATGAATTCATTGAAAGGAAAAAAAGGAAGCAGAAGATATAATCATTTGCCCCGGGAAAGGTTTGGGGACGTGAAGAAAAATAAGAATTGGACAGGTACTGAATGGAGGAGCAACCCACCATCCGTGGCCAAGGCGGCCGCTGTCTCCGTCTCTGAGACCAGAGACAGAGGCTCCTCACCTCATTCTGCCAGGACTCCCTTTGTGGGCATTCTGTCTGGGCCTGGGAAAGAACAGCCGCACCGGATGTGCACTCAGCTTTAGGCAAAGGCAGACACTCCAAGCTGACTGTTCTATAGGCCCTTAGTGACTTGTGCAGAGCAACAGGCTGAACAATTGTAGAACTTTGGGAGCCCAGAGAGCCAGAGAGGCCCCTGGCTCTTTACCAGGTCCTGTCCATCGTCTAGGGGCTTTGCCGGACTCCAGAAATCCAGCCCAGAGCCTGGGGTGGGGTGGGGTGGCCAGCAAACTCTCCACCCCTGGTGCTCAGTCAGTACCAGACATGAGTACCTCACACTCAGCATCTGTACACATTGGGATTTTTCAGACTGCGGAGCCAATTGCCACAAACAGTGCAAAGATCTCCTGGTTCTGGCCTGCAGGAGATTTTCCAGGGCACCCTCCTTGGGCAGCAGTCAAGGGTCCCTTCCCGGAAGCCCCTCGCTGCCCCCAGGTAACGATCTCTGCTTTGTTTGCTGTGCCTGTCTCTCCGCTCGCCACTCCACACTGGCATTTGGATCTCAGCCTTGCCAGAGTCTGTTAAGCTCCAAAGCCTGCCTGGGATGAGCAGCAGCCGCTATGCCGCTGGCTCCTCTACTTGTCTCTGCTTCCCAGTCTCAGTGATATGCAAGTCCTCTGTAGCTACGCATAGTCACCTGTAGTTTCTTCTCTGCTTGGGCTCCGCCTGTCAGACTCCTATGCTAACTTCGATGGTTTGCTATCGAGCAGACGAATGACACGTCACCATCATTCTCCTTCCCCTTCCAGTGCAAGATGAGGTGTTCGAGTTTCCTGGGGTCACTGCCAGACACCGGGATCTGGACAGCAGAGCCATCACGCTGGTTACAGGCTCTTCTCGCAAGATATCTGTGAGGCTACAGCGGGCCACTACCAGCCAGGCCACCCAGACTGAACCCGTCTGGTCCGAGGCTGGCTGGGGGGACTCAGGGTCCCACACCTTCCCCAAAATGAAATCCAAGTTCCACAGCAAAGCAGCAAAGGACAAAGGCTTTGCCAAATGGGAAAATGAGAAGCCCAGGGTGCAAGAGGGTGTGGATGTTATAGACCGAGGCACTGAGTTCGAACCTGACCAGGACGAAGGCCTGGATGAGACCAGACAGGATGGCGAGGTCAGTGCTGGGTGAAATCACAGATAAAGTCAGAAAAGAAGCCTGAAGGGGTTGAGATGAGCCTTTGTGGGGGATGGTCTTGAAGGCGTTCTGATAGTTGTGAAAGCAGTAATGGTTGGGAATCAAGATGTAGCACTTTTAACGTTGCTGTTGGCCTTGAAAAGGTGGCTTTTTTCTTTGGGGAACCTCCATTTCATTATGCATAAAATTGAACTGGACTGAGCTGTACAATTCAGCAAAGGTTATCATGTCTGTGTATGGAAGTGCTGCCCTAGAGACCCACGGCCATTCCATGCATCCAGTGTGTCCGTGGGTCTCCAAGACAGAGCCAAGCCTCAAACTCAGTGGAGACAGTGGAAGCAAAAGACTTGGAGGCAGAGAATAAGAAATGGAAACTCTTGTCCTTACTCAAAAAAGAGGCTTCTGACAGCATTATGGGGAAAAGGGTGGGAAGTGGGCATGGAAACTTCCAGTTCTGTACAACAGGCTCGATCTCCAAACAAGAATTACATTCCTGTCACCCAAAGAAAACTGGGATGCACGTGGAACTTGTTAGAACGTGCTGAAAATAGAAATCGATTCGAGATGGGGTTAGATAAATTTTATTAGTCGGCAGTCCGTAGTGTACAAAGAGAAAGGCTCCGGGGGAACTGGTGTCCTCCTCCTGAGCCGTGTCGCGAGGGCAGCCGTTGCCTCCCTGTCCCGTCAGGCTCACAGCCATCTGGGTTAGGCAGACTCCACGGGACCAAGCCAGTGCTCTGTCTTCTAGTGGGTGGTCCACCATATTCCCCTCATCTGGAGAACGAAGACGCAGTCTCCCTAGCTTCTCGTGATGAGCAAAACCCCAACACCTTTAACCAGAATCTTCCAGTTCCTTCCTCATAACAATAAGAAGGCAACGCACTACTGTATCTCCTCAGGAAATATTTATTTTTAAGTTCCTGCCTTACCGTTTCCTCCTTTCTTATAACACTGTGCTAATTTTCTGTTACTATGATGAAAACCTGATCAGAGAGAGAGAGAGAGACAGAGAGACAGAGAGACAGTCAGACAGACAGATGCCCACCCCACAGTTCTCTTCAAGGATGCGTCCCCAATGATCCAAAACCGCTCCCTAGGCCCCTGGCCTCTTCGGTGTTTCTACCAACTTCACCAGTGCCATGCTAAAGATCTGGGCCTTTGAGACACTGATTCAAACCATGGCACTGTTGATTGTTTGCTTGCAGTGCTAGGGATCTACCATAGGGCTTCATGCGTGCTAAGCAAGCACTTTACCAGAGTTGTGCCGTGAGTCCCATAACTCTGACTCTTAAAAACCTCTTTACTGGAACTAAAGATGTAGCTCGGTGGTAGAGCATGGGCTCAGCTCACAGAAAGCCCTGGGTTCAATCCTCAGCACCCAAAATAAACACATACATAAATAAGTAATAAAAATCACTTTATTAGGGGCTGGGGATTTAGCTCAGTGGTTCCACCACCTGCCTTGCAAGCGCAAGGATCCGAGTTCAATCTCAGAACCAAAAAAAAAAATCACTTTATTGACATATAATTACCGTGCCATGAAGTTCACCCACTTAAAGCATAGGACTCAATGGCTTTAGTGTATTTGCAGAGTTATGCTACTATCGCTACAATCCAGCTTTAGAACACTCTCATTGCTCCAAAAAGAAGCCCAGTAGCCACTAGCAGTCACTGTCCTCCTCCACTTTGCCCTGGCCTTAGGCAGCTAATTTCCATTTTTTCCATATAGATTTCCAGCACTAACTTTACTTTTAACATTTCCCCTGCTAATTATCCCAGCAAATGTATCATTAGTCCTATCCTTCCACATCTGCTAACATAGCTCAAACTGAGAATATCTAGGTGATTAGGAAACAGTTCATGATTTGGTGCCAGCGGAAGATACCCTAGGGCAAGGGGTCCTAACTGCTCTGAAAAGTAGCTTCAGAAAGATTCATGAAAGTGGGGTTTTAAAAAAATTTTATAGAAATTATACATGACATCTGCTGGGCAGAAGTGTCCATAGCATTTAACAGATTCTCAAGTGAGGGCAGGGAGATAGCTGTGAATTAAAAAGAAAAGAAGAAAAGACAAAGATCCATTGTGCAAGATTTTCAGGAGGATACCAGAAATCATGCCGGTCACCTTGTGTCCCCGCTCAGCTTGTAGAGGCTGCCCTGGAAGTCTCAGAAAAAGAGCCCGTTGGGGTGTTGTCATTGGATGCCACCTAGGTCACTCAGGGTGGTACACACCTCGTGGGCACCTCTGGATTCCAGGGGCCCTGCCTGTGAAATTGTCATAAGCTCACCTCTACTGACCACCGCAGTTCAAGTGACTTAAATGGGGCTCTCGAGTTAGGAGAAATTCACAGCCAGTTAAGTGCAGGGCAGTCACCTAGGTAAGATTTCCTGATCATTAATTGCTATTAGGAAATAGGAAGAAAAGATCTGAGGGTTTAAAAAATTTTAACTTTGTCTTTTGGAAATCAAGCCTTTACTAGTCAAATGTGCTCAGTCAGCATTTCAATTTTCTGATCAGATAAACCATGGGGTTGGTTAACTGACCACTGATATCATTTGTTTCACTTAGAAAAGATGGTATACTACTATATAAAATGTATATTTATGGCACAGTCTCTTTGCCGTCCAAATCAGTAACAAGAAGATATTTGAGCTTATTCTGAGAAAAAGGAAAAAAAATGTGATAAAATTACCCAACAGTTGAATATGTAGAGGAAGGAGTTTTCAAATTCAAAAAATCTTCTGCCAGCTAAGGCTAATAAATAGAATGAGAAATGATCCATGCATTAACTATCTAGTGACATATTTATCAATAGCATAATTAAAAATGTTAAAACAGGCATCAACACATTTTCTGTGGCTATAATTGAATGCTATAGACTGGATTAACTTTTGGAGTTAATTTAGGTCACAGCCCTGGGGACTGTGAAGGTGCTGGCATTTGGTGAGGTTGTCTTGCTGCACCTTAACATGGCCCAAGGCATCACATCGCAGCCCAGTGTAAGCAGGCTAGCTCAGGCCTTCCTTCTTAGAGAGCCAGTTATGCACATGGTGGCATGAGCCTATGATCTTAGGACTAGGGAAAGCTGAGGCAGGAGAATCATAAGTTCGAACCTAGCCTGGGAAATTCAGTGACTTAGCAAGACCATCTCACCATAAAAAAAATAAAAGAAAGGCTTGGAATACAGCTCAGTGCAAAGGCCCTGATTTCAAACCCCCACTTTGGGATGGGGAGAGATTTTTTTACAAAGCCAATAATGGCATCGTGAGGGCTCCACCCTCATGGCCTTGTCTAACCCTGATCTCCTCCTAGAGGCCCCACCTCCAAATAACATTAACATAAGAACTAGGGAATCAGCTTTTCAACACACGAACTTTTGGGGAAACATATTTGAACCATAGCAGCAAAAACGGTGCGTAATCTGTGCATTTCCTTCAACGAAGTTCTAGGATTTTCACTCACATTAAAATATCAGGGTGTCAGTATTTTCAGCGGTGGTGGACACTGTCTCACTGGTGACCACTAAGTTTCTGGATCACAGGCCAGGTAAAGATCACTTTTTTGGCAGTAGCATATTTCCCTTATAGTTTTTCTTTAGTTTTCTGTTATCCTCTGATGAATTCCATTTAGCCAACAAATATTTATTTTAGGATTAGGAAATCCTGGACTAAACAGAATTGAATGTGTAAGAATATATACATATACACAAAACATACCCATATACAGCTCGTATAGACTACACGTATGAATATGCATCCATATCTAATTTGATTCCTTACAAATTTTCTTAATGCCTTTATATTCACATTTATATTGTGAGTTTCCAAGAGAGGAACATTTATCAAGCAGCATTTGAGGAAACGCTAAGAACACATGCTTGTGATACTCTGGAAATCTTCAGGATTCCATGGGCTGGGCGGATGACATGACCTTTGAGTGTCCTCTAAATGCTGAGGCTACCTATTGATTATTTAAGTTCAACTCCGCTGAAATCAAATCCATTTGGAAAACGTCTCTCTAGGAACACTTCTGTTTTGTCAAATTAAGACCCAATCATGTAACAGGCTCTGATTTGTGTTGCAGGATGGCTGACTTCGGGCTGGGGAAACTGAGGCAATCGTGTTGGCCTTGAGAAGGAACAAGGTGAGAAACTCTGAAGAACACTCCCATCTCAGGAAGTTATCTGGAAAGACACCCGGATGTTTACTGCCTTTGGACATTGTGGGATCGCCATGGTTGGTCACTGGGACAGAGGATTTACCGTAATAGTGAACTATTTATGTCCTCCTCCCTGCCCCTGGTTAGGTGCCACATAGACTGTGTTATGTAGCTGGTAGTTTTCTCATTACTTTTCTCTAGAGCCAATTATATACGGGTGAAAAGAAGACTTTCTGCGCTCACACTTGATACTTACTCTCAACGTTCAGCCTTTGCTTTTTTGTGAGGATATTTCAATTCTGTGTACTTTTGGGATGGGACCAGTGCTTAACATTTTCTCAAGGGACAAGGAAGTTTCTCAACGCAGTGGTTCTGGGGAAGATGACCTGCGAGGAGAAGCTGTTTATGTCATTCCTACCGCACAGTGGCTGTGATGTACAGGGAGTAACATGTATCTGTTTCCAAGGTCTTCTCAACTGCGTCACTCAGGGGCTGTACCACAGCCGTGAACATGCTCCTAATATTTGTAATAGCCATGGGACGAAATTAACCACGCCTGTCTCAACTGACTGCATACCCTTCTTTCTTTAGATTCCTGAAATAGGAATCGCAATTGAGAAATATGTTTGTTTGGGGAAATAAAACTGAGTAGAAAAATCACTGAACAACCCACTTGGTGAAATTTTAAAAAACTATTGCCAATTTTTAAAAGTCCAAAGTAATTCTAAATTTCGCTTTAAAAAAAAAGCTTTGTTTCTGAAAGATAACTCTTGTACTCTTCTTAATAAATTGCCATCCATAATTAGACTATTCAGTAAAAGAAAATACTCATAATCACCTTGACTTTTTCACTTAAACTCTTTTCCCTGGACCCAGAATATCTAGATGTGGATGGGTTTCTTAAATTATTAGAGAGAACTTGATTCAAGATGTCCAAAAGAGAAGCCAGGTGTTGGTAGTGCACACCTGTAATCCCCAGCACTTGAGAGGCTGAGGCAGGAGGATCACCACAAGTTCAAGGCAAGCCTGGGCTAAGTAGAAAGACCATGTCTCAAAAAACCAAATAAGGAAAGAAGAAAAAGCTGTTGAAAATGGAGATAGAATTGAACCTCTGGGTGAGGAGAACAATTTCTACGTGTGATTTGTCAGCAACTGTTACACACAGGTACATGGTTCCCGTATCAGAAGGCTGTTTTTTTGTACATAGTCCGTGTAAAATGAATGTTCTTGTGACAGTCACTCCTTCCCTCCCTTTTCTTCACTGTGGAGACTTGCTGAGCTCTGGACAGGTCCTGTGCAAAAGGCACAAAGATGAGCGGGACTGGTCTCAGCCTCAGGAATGGAGAGCAGGGGATGCCAAGGTGGAGTAGTTCCTGGGATGTAAATCCGGCTCTGAGGAAGCTGGAACCCACCATCTGTGCTCACCTCCCAGGCAAAATGCCACCCTCTGGGTTTTTTTTTTAAAGAAGTAAATTCAGAAAGAAACCTGTTAATAAATGTGGGACTGCTCTTTTTCTTGTCAAAGGAATTATTTCACTTCACACTTAAATTGGTTATTTTTGTGTTTTCATATATAGGAAGAGTTTCATATTTTCAACCTTCCTATGACAAAGATACTAAATGTACTCTGAGTAAAAAATAAATACAAAAGAAACACACTTTAAAGAAGTAAATTCAGAAAGAAACCTGTTAATAAATGTGGGACTGCTCTTTTTCTTGTCAAAGGAATTATTTCACTTCACACTTAAATTGGTTATTTTTGTGTTTTCATATATAGGAAGAGTTTCATATTTTCAACCTTCCTATGACAAAGATACTAAATGTACTCTGAGTAAAAAATAAATACAAAAGAAACACACATGTATATAAACTATATGTGCATATTGTGCGTGTATACACAAACATAAAACTATGATTAGTTTGTGGAAGGGGAACTCAAATCCATAAGGAAACTGCATAGTAATTTCTATTATGTCATTTTCTCATAATCGATGGTGATTCCGATGTCTCCAGTCTATCAGCTTCCCATAATCAGTAAAATAAACACAATAGGCAAATCTATGATGGAGCAAAACCATCATGATGTTTCTTCCAGACCTATTTTGTAGGTTTCGCGATCACTGTTGCGTTTAGAGCCAAAACCCAAACTAAGCGAGCCTGAGGGCAGGATTTATCAGATGCGTCTGTCCCATCCTCACAGCGGAATGAGGGGTGCGTAGATCTGCCTGAAGCAGAGCAGCTCTCAGAGGTGGCTACCCTCCCCCCTGGACAGAGCTGTCCCCAGCTTTCCACGGTAACAGCATCTCCAGGGGTCCAAGGAGTCTGCTGCTAAACTGAGGGGAGAACTCCTGCAGAAGGGTGCACCGAATTGTTCCTGGTGGTAAGCAGTTTAAGTATCCCTAAGATAAGCACAACGATTCCGCCAAAGTCAAGAACTCCCAGATTAGAATGGCTGAGGAGTTAAATTCTCTCAAATCATTTTACAGAAGTGCACCTTTGGCTTGAAAATTCATGACCAGAATTTTTACACCCACCCCCCGCTACTGGGAATTTGAACTCGCCTTCACAGTGAGCTATATCCCCATCCTTTTTTGTTCTGTTTTTTTTTTTATCTTGAGCTGCCTTGTCAAGTTGCCCAGACCGGGCTTGAATGTGCCGCCCTCCTGCGGACTCTCCAGCGCTGGGAGGCCGGCACGCACCACCGCCTGCACAGAGCAGGACTGCGCGCTCATAGTTGTGGCGCTCACTAGGCACTGGGCGCTCAGGCCCATCCCTCCGAGCCTTATTTCTTCATCTGAAAGAAACTCATTTCATCATCTTCCCCTGCTACCTCGGTGTCTCTGTAAAGATCAAGATAAGGGCTGGGGAGTAGCTCAGTAGTAACGCACTTGCCTAAATTGCAAAGCCCTGGGTTTAATCCCCAGTATTTCAAAAAGGGGAAACAATTCCTTAATAAAGCATTCAACATTACTTTAAGAAGAAAGATCGAGCCAAAAAATATATTAGAAGTCCTTTGTAAACATCTTATAGGTTAAGAAGATGGCACAGGCCTGTCACATCAGCAACTCTGGGAGGCTGAGGCAGGAAGATTTCATATCAAGTACCACCTGGGCAACTTAAAACCTGTCTCAAAAAAAAAGGAGAAGAGAAGAGAAAAAGAAAGAGAGAGAGAAAGAAGAAAGGAAGGAAGGAAAGAGGAAAAAAGGGAGTTGGGGATGTAGATTACTGTGAAGGCCCTGGGTTAAATGCCCAGTACAAAAACAAAAACAACACCTTACAGGTTAATGTTACTTTGCAATTCAGGAAGGTTTTCTTTCAAAATTGTCGATTCCAGAATTTCCTTTTGGGGGGTGATTAGACAGGGTCTTACTATGCGGTTCAGGCTGGCCTTGAATTTGTGGCAGTTCTCCTGATTCAGCCTTCAGGAGTGTGCCACCATGCCCAGATTTTGTATGAATTATATAGCTACATTATTTGGAGGTTCTAAATTTTCTCTCAAACATTCAAACAAAGAAGTAAGAATGAAAATATTCAAAAGTTTTTGTTACTCCAGTTTTTGTTAATTCTGTATGTGTATAGAATTCGTTCTGTTAGTTTTTTTTAACACCGACTATTCTTGTTCTGTTTGAAAATAGGCAAGATTTGGAAACCAAATGGGACATGCATAAAACTCTGGGTTCCATTCCCAGCATTGCAAAAAACAAATACCTCAAATAGGTAAAATGTAAATGAGTTATGAATTTTGAAAAAAAAATCCACATATGGTGTACCTATAGATATGCTTAAAAGATAAACATGCTTTAAAAAAACTAGTGAAGAAAACTGGACAGGTTGGCACGTGCCTGTAATACCAGCTACCCAGGAGGATGAGGCAGGAGGAGTCCTAGGTCAGCCCAAGCAACAAAGTGCCCATCTGAAAAAAAAAGAAAAGAAGACTAGATAGGAGAATCTAGTTTACAATGGGAGACAGAAGGAGAACAAAATTAACTTTTAAAATAAAAAGTCTACCATTTGTTTGACAACTGAAATTCATTTTAGAATGAATGTAGGTGGATGAATGCAGGAGTCAGCTTGGCTTTTAAAGGCTTATCAGAAAATAGCTTCTCTACACCTAAAACTTGCGGGCTAAAGCCTTGAGAGCACAGGTGCCTCCTACAGAAATGCTTCTTTTTTTGCCTTATCTTTTATCATGCCAGGCAGTCTATTCATGTTGGAAACTATGCTCATTCAGAATCCAAGAGACAAGCAGTTCATCCATAAGAGCACAGGAAAGAACCACTCAGAGCACTCATAAGGCAACGGTAACAGCTTTAAAATGCCAAGAAAAAAGAGAGAAGGGAGAGACATTTCTGGATGAAGAGACATTGAATGAAATGCGGCAACTAAATGTGATGTTACAAACCTTGGTTGGGTTCCGTTTCAAAACCTAAAGCAGACATTTTTAAGGGCAACTAGGGAAATTTAAATGTGGACTTTATACTCTGATATTGCCTGAATGCTAATTCCCTTCAGTGTGGTAACCATTTTATAGTTATGGAGAAGAACACATTTTTAGGAGAAGCCTGCTGAAGTATTTAGACAATTATTAATATCTCCAAATGGTCCAGGAAAAACGAAGAGCCAGGCATGGTGGTCCACACCTGGAATTCCAGTATTTGGGGAGACTGAGGCAGGAGCATCATAAGTTTGAGACCAGCCTAGGCCATGTAGCAAAACCTCGTCTCAAAAAATAAAAAGGAGACTTGGAGGCTGAAATTTCCTGGCACTGGTTGGTTCTGAGAAGCAGAAAACAAAAGTCACATCAGCCAAGCAATATTTGTAAGAAACAACCTGTCTCTATGAGAGCAGAGTGCCTACAGTCTTTAAGTCCAATAAACAAATAAATCCTACAGTGCAAGTGGCCACCAAGATGTTAAAAGGCTACCTGAATTTAACTCAAATTTAGGATCCTAAGGAAATTTTCACCTGGCCTGGAAACTATCCTGGCTCCTTCCCAACATGAACTTCCCACTATTTTTGGATAAAAGCTCAAAGTTAGTACGGATTTAAAACAAAAACCCAGGAAATAGTACAAGAACGAAAAAAGACAGCTAACGTTAGAAAATTTCTCAACAGAGAACAAACAAAACTACACAACTGATACGAAAATGATTTCTCCAAGATTTAAACCTACCTAGCCAGGCATGGTGGTACACGCCTGTGATCCCAGCATGCAGAAGGCTGAGACAGGACTGCCATGAGTTTGAGGCCAGCCTGAACTACACAGCGAGTTCAAGGCTGAACTGTACACCTGCTTCAACAAAACAAAACAAAACAAAACAAACAATGAAAAAAACAACCAGCCAACCAAACAAAAAGAATTAAATCTACTTAATGAATTCCTGATCTAAGGAAACCATGATAATAATAAATGCTTATTGTTGTTTTAGGGTATTTTGCTACACAAGAGACAACTAATACAATATCCATAACAATTAAACCACAACCTTTGGAGTTATTTTCTACATTACACAGAAATAGTATGCATCTCTGATGCATAAAATCATTTATATGTTATCAGTTTTCTTCAACTTAGCACCTGGGCCCAAATCTATAGTGACTTAAGCAAAAATACATTTCTCTGGAGAAGATTCTCTCTCTCAACCTTTGTACTACCGACATTTCGAGTCAGTTAGTCCTTAGCTGGGAGGGGAGGTAAACTGAGCATTGTGGGTATTCAACAGTACCTCTGGCTCCTGCCTACCAGGTGACAGCAGCACCCCCTCTTCCTCAAGTAATACCCCAAGTCCGCAGACAGTTCCAAACATCCCTGAGCAGCAATGGGCAGCACAGGGCTCCGGGACACTCAAAGGATATGCAGCCATAATTGACCTAATTTCCAGGTTTTGGATCACTTTTTCTCAGTAATTCTTTCAAACAAACAATAAGGAGAAGGCAGTTCTACCAGGTTGTAAATGTAAATATTAGGACAAAACCCTGAATCTTCTCAATTATCAAAATAAATGCAAAGAGGAGAGCA